GACTGGAATGGTACTCGACGCAACACTAGCCAATCCAGTCGCGGAGGAACTGCGTATGTGGTGAGACCGAGTCGGAAGATGGCGGCCCGGAAAGGGCGATGTGTTTGACGAGGTTGGTATACTGGCCTTTGGCCCCGGGGCTGTACATGCAATATCTCTCGCGCGCAGTCCGGTCGGCAAGGACGAGCGCGAGTTCGCGCATCGGAGCGCTGAAGAGCGGGGAAAGGTGCTTGGGCAGAACCGAAGCCAGAGCATCGAAACGTGCCACGAGGTCCCCGACAGCCTCGGCAGCTTTGGTCGGGAAGTCGTCTTCATCATCGTCAACCTCCTCGTGTTCCGGGCCGGACTGGTTGGGCAAATTCTCTCGAGCTAGATCTTGGCGACGATAAAGAAGATGCATGTAAGGTCTCCAATCAGGATGCTTGGGCGTCAGAAGCAGACGGAGGAGCTCAATGATGACGGGCAAGTAGGCCTGGCGGGAGCTACTGCTCAGGTCGAAGATCACGTAGTAGCACTCTGGTTTGATGAAGCCCCTGGGTCTCAAGACCATCACTGCGCAAAACCTCATCGGCGTCCCACGACCCTTCATTCTGCCTAGCCTCGTCCTCCTCATACTCATCCTTCACCTCATCCTCATTCTTTCACCCCATGCTCACCCTTAACCTCATGCTCGCCCTTAACCTCATACTCGTTCTTAACCTTCTGCTCGTCCTTAACCTCACACTCGCTCTTAGCATCGTTCTTGTCTTCTCCAAGCTGGTCAGGATGCCATTTCTCGGGACATAACTCAGCCTCGGGGTCCTCAATATCAGACTTTCCTCTCTTGCCATCAGCAGCCCGATGGTAACCCCTTCCACACCCAGTACAGTATCAACCCCTGCAAGTGCAACCCCCTCAAAGTGCAAACACCCCCAAAGTGCAAAAGATTTGAGCGGCCGGAATTGTTTCGCCATACAAAAACTGCAAACTGCAGTGCAAAGACTCTAAGCCGGATTTGCATCTGCAGGGATCTCATTTTAGTGAGAGAGAACAGTTATATGCGGTTAACGGGGCTCTTGTGACCCGCTTTTTGGTGCAGCCGGGCGTCTTCCAATGGCTAGAGGGGGCAGTGTAGTCTGTGCACCGGATCCCTCAAGTGCAAATACCCATGAAGTGCAAAAATTTTCGCCGGCCCGGATTAGTTGCACTTTCAGGGTTCATACTGTATTCTTGCCGAAACTGTCGTGTTTGTTGCAGCATGGATACACGAACCCTCTATAATAATAGGGGTTCTTTCAGTTCTCCTGTGTGTCATATGGACCCTTGTACTTGGTATCCCAGAATTTCCAAACGTCAGACTGACCGAGATCGACCACGCTACTTTCTATGCATTGATTAGACATCAGTCAAGGATGCGAACAATGAAGGCAGACAGCAATGCTCTGAGATGATGTACAAGTACGGAGGAAGAAACGAGGAGGACGGAGGGAATCTGGGGCAAATATCACTTTGCGCTCAGTAGCCCCTCTTTCGCAGACGTATATTCAAGCCAGGTGCGGGCGACGAAAATTAGAAATCACTCGAGATGATGCTGTGAGAAGGAAGTGCAAATAATGGTTTAGGAAGGAACGACCAAAACGCCAACTGGAATAACACGGGCCCTTCAGTCTTCCCGCTCTAGAGGTACCACATAGACTCCCGTCCCACTCTCATTCATACGTACTCAACACCACTCGACGAATGGGTTGGACAGGGCGCCAATTCACTTCGTTCGTCTTCGCTCCCTTGCCTCCAGTTTACTCGTCGCCCTCATCATCCTCTTCCTCCTCATCTTCGTGGTCCTGGTCTCCCCCGTCCTCATCCGCAGAGTCATCAACATCGAACCTTCATCTCTTGCCATCAACAGCCCGGTGGTAACCCAATTTGCACCCCTCCGCCTCATCGGCTCGTTTATTGCAGCAAGTATAAATGAAACCCCGAAGAGTGTCAGGATTACAACGGTTCTCCTCCGTATCCATCTCACCCCAGGTTTGCTCGTCCCAGTCATACCACGTGGACGAATTTTCGTCGAGTTCCATGTCCTCTGTTTGCCGATTAGCTATTTGCCCAAGAGCGGGAGTCAGAGGCCATCATCATACCTGAATGGTAACGGCATTCCTTTTCATTGTCGTCTTCCTCGAACGCCTGGCCACACTGAATGCAGATGTGAACGGTGGACGCCGCTTTCCGTTTCAAGCCAGAACCTTCGGTCTTTGCGGCGTTGAGCTTGGTTATTTCATACAAGTGTTTCCCCACGAGTTGTTGAGCATCACGGTCAGCGCAAACGCCGCGCAGAACGGCACGAAGAGTCGACTCGTCTGCCGAGGCAATTGCCTCAATGAGCTTCTCTCCCCTCAGAGTTGACTCCATGACTACTTGACAAACCTGTGCGAAGGTGCTTAGGCAATTAAAAAGATGCTAGAAAGGCGAGTGCTAGAAGAAGGTTACAGAATGGCGGGAGGGGTATGCACGCCAATGACGGATGAGTGAGGTACGAGGAGGAGAAGAGGAAGAAGTTCGAAAGGCCCAGGATAAATTTTCTCTTATACCGCCCCACTAGGATCTAGAACAAAAGCGGTAGTCGGGGTGATTGTAAGTTTGATCCTGTCGGCTCGCGAGTTGCAGCCAAAGGAGGTGGTTGATCCGAAGGATTATGGTCAACTCTCGAGCCACCAAACACACGCATCTATCATTATCACCATCACCATCACCATTAAACCCTCCTACATCCTTTTTCTCAGACCTAATAACAAGCCTCAACCCCCGTCCTGCTCCGCGTCAACATCAAGATCCCCACAATCACCCCATAAAGCCCCAAGACCTCACTAAATATCAAGATCAACACCATGCCCGTATACAGCCTCGGCTGCTGCGGGCTCGCCCTCACCCCTGTGTCTCCTACAATTCCAACCGCAAAACCAGCCGTTAACCCAGTCAATCCGACGGCAAGGCCGGCGCCGAGCTGTAGGAACGCAACATAGAGCGGCAAGGGGTCGACAAGGGCGTTGGAGATTAGGATGGAGGTCACGAGGCCGTAGATGGAGAGGATTTGGGCCATGATTGTTGGCAGGCTTTTTGGCGGGTCATTATTAGTTGTTCTTGTGCTCTTCTAGGAAAGATAATAGGGGAGGGATGATATTAGGACAAAGATGGGAAATTCGTTATTACATGTTTTGAGGAACCCGTTCAGGCTTCAGGATGCCCGTTGCAAAGATGGCACCTGAGGACTTGGCTGTGCCGTAGGAGGCGCCGATGACGGCAAAGATGATGGCTATGGCGGAGCCGAGGGCGCCGAAGAATGGCTATACTCGTTCATGTCACTTTCAATGAGACTTCGAGATTCTGAATGAGCACGGAGTGGTTAGGGGTGGAGTTGACGAACGGAGTATACGGGACTGTCATGGAAATAAACGTATGTTAGTCGTAGGCGTACACATCTTGGCAGAAGAGATTTGAAAGTGAGCATCATACCATATGTCCCGATCGATGTAAGCTTTCTCCATCGTTGGAGCTATTTGTTGTCGTTATCAGTGTTCTGATCAGTCTGACGGTCCTGGTCCGTTTTCCTTTGAGGTAGCAATTTTCAAGCGAGGTTCGTGAGCTTAAATACCTTTTGTATAAGAAAAGTTAGGACCAGATGGGGGATGAAGCTTATTTGAACTCTAACGTAAGCTCTTGGCTTATCCTATACACGTAATGCCAGGCTCACAAAAGAGCATACGATCGGATTTTCGGACGCAGGAAGATGTTTAATATCTGGGGTTAGCTTGCGATTGGTGAGGCCGGATCACTTGACGATTGACTCGACCCCCAAGCTCGGATTACAGGCCGAAAAGCAACTACGGGAGAGCCAACAAGATGTAAAGTCTTCTAGAGAAGTGTTAGTCGCATCTGTCTATCGATTCCGTATGCTCTGCTCAGCGTTGTTTCTCAGGCAGACGCCAAGGTGTTGGATGACTTCGCCGAAATCGATGTAACATATGCACATGTTGTGCAGAACATGTAGATGGTGAAGATGGTGAACATCGATGTTGGCTAACGTGAGCGGACAAAGTGCCCGTTGAGCTTTGGGTGACTTGGAAACTCTTCTGATATTTCTCGCACGTTAGCTTGATCGTCAATCCTCAAGACCCGAGTCCTTCAGCCCATTTGTCTATCTTATCACCTTTAGGACACGCCTCGACAAACCAACCAGTCTATATCCCATCGTGATCACATCTTCAAACCATTGTACCCATGTAGCTTCTCCTTATTTTTCTTATGTTTCCGCTTAAACAGATCCTACCTCCTCCTCTGATTCAACCAACTGCCCAGCCACCTCCACCGTTCCGCCACGCCCTCAACCCACTCCACATCCCCAATCAGCCCGCTCACCCTCCCCTCCGGATCATCCCACCTATTCCCCTCGAACTCGACAAAGAAGAGATACTGAAACGGCGCAATCAAGCTCGGCAAACTATTGATGCTCGTCAGGTTCAGCCCTCTCCTCTTGAAGCACCCAAGTACATCCGCCAGCGCTCCCGGCGTATGATGCGGCACCGTGAAGGAGACCATAGACTTATACAAGCCCTTGTAAGCATCTCCTTTTTCCGCATCATCATCTCTCCCACCATTGCTCCCGGACACCGACGATGATGGACGTGGAGACATCGACACGGGCGACCCACCACCCGAGCCCGAAGAAGACCCAGGCAGAGACTCAGCCCGGTCCGTAGTCCACGGTAATCCCTCGGGCAGCGAAACCTCCTGCTCGACGCCGTCATCGCTGCGGCTGCTGCAGGGTCTCCGCCGGAGAACAAAGAAACGGGTCGTGTTATCCTCGCGGTCCTCGATGCAGCGCGCCAGCACATCCAGGCCGGCCATCTCGCCCGCTACTTCGCCCGCTACCGCGGCGCTCTCTCCCGAGGCGTCGGCAGCCGCGAGCTCGGCGGCTTTGCTGGTAGAAGAGACCTCGATGGTCTCGACGCCCTTGAGGTAGGTGGCGAAGAACTTTGCGGTCTGGCCGAAGGCTTGTGGGTGGGAGTAGACGCGTTTGACGTGGGAGAGCGAGGTTAGGGGGGTTGCCTTTGCGGTTTCGACGTCGACATTTGATAGAAGTGATGACTTCCTCCGGCCTAAAAGGAAGTGGTGCACGTCTAGGTAGGCTTCGCCGCAAATGGTGATGTTGGGGTAGGTGGAGGCGCGGTCGGCGAGGCAATCGAGGGTGAAGCTGACGGTGCCGTGGGTTGAGTTCTCGAAGGGAGCCACGCCGAAGTCGACATTGGAGTCTTGGACTTCATCGAAGACCTCTGTAGAAGGTGTTAGTGATTCTTCTTTTCTTTTTTCAACTAATGAAGCCAAGTTGACAAACCTCTGATGGTCGTTGTAGGGACAAGTTCCCATTCATCCTGGTTGGGAAAGGCAGATTTTGTCGCCTATATTTCACAACAACCCCAAGTCAATATCCATCTTTCTGAACACCAGTGGAAAGAATAGAAATCCCGTAGCCATGTCAAGAGCCTTCAAGTGTTCTCTCAAGTTGAATAGACTTAGTATCCGTTTTTGTCGATCGTCCTTTCATGCACTGTCTCAAACCTGACAGCCCGTAACAGCTCCCTTTCTCCAGGTAATTTCGCCCACCAAATCCAAGACTCATCCAAACCCACTTGACCGTCCCTCCCAAGCCCATCTGACGCGGATCACATACCTGATGAGAATACGAAGAGAAAGTCCCCAAGAAGGCGACCTTCCTCTTGTGACTCTTCTCTCGAGTTCCTTCCGATGTCGGCGGGTTCGCCATTGTTGAGCTCATGTTTGCAGACCGCTCACAACCTCTTGCTGCTTAACCTTCTGGTTGCTTTGGAGAAGTACACACACACCAGCAGCCATACCACTGCTCAACGAGTTTCAAGGTTTGTCGTTCGTGGACGTATGTTGTAAGTTGAAAGACGCAAATTCCCTGATTTGGGTCGGAGTTGCGATTAAAGGTTGCTAGCGGCCAATCATTCATAAAGCGCAGCGGAGCCCTTGGAGGCCCATATGCATTGTCGTGGTACCTGAAGCGGAGGGTTGATTTGTGTACAGTATGAAGTAATTCTGGAGTCCTATTTATGTATGGTTGCCCCGAGCACCTACACAGTATCCGCTTTTAGTTCGTTAACGTGGTTAGGATCCTCCGACTCAGGCTCACCGGCGTCTTGACTTGTTTTGATACCGGTTTCGGCCGGCCACACGGGACTTTTGCCCCTCAAAGACTCCGACCGCCGAACCCCGCTCCGGCCCCGATGACCGGCTTCATATTTCCCATCCCTCGCTCAGCAGTTGTGTTTTTGTGATAGACCCACAAGGAATAGGTGATGACACTGCGCACCCCGAGGACTGCATGGTTCCGGGTTCACAAGCTTACTCCAGATTCTACGCCGAGTAGTCCAACAGGGTGGTTCATCTGATTTCCTCATCTTCAGTGCACGGGCACTTGAGAGTGCCAAGGCTGTAAATCGTCACCCTCATGAAAAGTTAAGGACAATCCAGACCAAGAGCCATCAAGATCTAACAGCAAAAAACAGAATGAACGTGGGATTCGGTCCTCGGCTACCGCGTACTAAGCCCTATTTAAACCATATCTCATAACAACCCGTTTAAATTTTCCACCCAAGATCCCATAACCCAATTTTTAATGAACCGAAAGCATAAAGGAGTGTTCATAAAGACAGACGCTGTCAGTCCCCGGGATAAAAGCAAATCCATTCCTCCTGGTTCCGCGCTAGACATTCGATCCTTGCCATCTTCCAACTTGAGGTATCGCTTGCGTCTAGCTAAGGGATTTTTGATGAATCATTCGTTGGTCTTGGTCGGATCTACGAAGAATCAACCCTTGATCCCATTCGTGGACCTTCCGCTTCAATCATAGGCAATTTGGTTCTGTTGCGGCGATTAGTGAGTGACCAGGATTCGGCGGACCAAGAAAAGCCCATACCTTGGATTTCATCAAATCAAACTCAAGAAGCCGTCATCATAGAGCGAAGCGGGCTCGGGCGGGACACCTGGTGGGTACCTGGCGGACGAGGGCTTGCGCCGGAGCGAGCTGCGAACACTTTGTCCGAGCTGGTTGGCTTGGGGAGCGGCGCTGAATCAGCTTTCGGCGTCGTCGTCGGCTCGGACGGGATAGCTTGAGTTCCGGGTCCCTCGTTGTCGGCGAGGGATTCAACTTGTCAATCGTCGTAGTACTCATCATCGTCGCTGACGTCAGCTAGCTGCTCGAAATTGACCTTGTAGCGGAGAATACCGCCGATACCACCGAAACCCTTGACGAACTGGTTGCCCTCGGTAGAACGGTCGGAAACGAATTCGAGTGTGGTACCAAAATCTTTGTAGTGCTCGGCAATCCACTCAAGGAAGGACTCCTGGGAAACCACCTCCATCTCCTGGCCTGTCTCCTTGTCCATGAAACTATCGCGGCTGGCCTGCTCCTGTGCCTTGGTAGTATGCAGGATGACCTGGGATCCGTTGCTATCCTTGAGAACCCAGCGGTTGACCTCGAGGTTCTCGAAGACGATGAGGGTCTCGACGGCGCCAAGCTCCAAAGCCTTGAGGGTATCCTCAATACCGTAGCAGATGCGGCCGGTATCCTGGCTAATCTCCTCGAAGTACTTGCCGATGAGCTTCTTCTCCTGGATGAACTTGACGTTTCCGAGGGTCTCGGAAGACAGCTCGATGGCCTGGTTGAAGCCGTTTTCACCACCGTACGAGACATCGACAACCTTGACGACCTTGGTCTGAAGACGGGGATCGAACAAGTCGGAGGCGTTCAGGTCGTTCTTGAAATCGGCGGAACCAGCCAGAACGATACCGGCAACGTTGGGCCTATCGTTGGTGATGAAGCACTGAACGGCCAATTCGGCGACCTTGCGGACGTAGTTGTGACGCTTTTCCTCACGGAGACGGGCAAAACGCAGGGCGGACTGACCACCACGACCGTGCTTCTTGGGAAGATCGACGGAGAACTTGTGGACGATGTCGCGGGTGTTTCCACTAAGCGTACCGAACAGGGCACCGTTACCATCCATAATGATGAAACCGAACTTCTGGTCGGAGTCGAGAAGCTCGGCGAGAGCCTCGGTGTGGAACTTGTTGTCGCAAAGGTAGAGGGAGGTGTTGATGGGCTTGAAAGGCTCGAAATCGATGTTGACCTTTCTCTCCTTGCCTTCGGAGGTCAAGATTTCACCGCAGTACACGACAAGACCATTGGGAGGCACCTTGTTGTACAGCTTGAGCCTTTGCTGGGTCGAGGTAATGGCCGAAAGGACGGACTGACGGTTGACACGCGACTTAATGTTCGAGGCAGTGCCCTATAGTAACAGGTCAGGAACAGCTGTTCGGCAGGATGAGGTGTCGAGGTTGAAGGGGAGCATGGTGACGCACATATTCTTCAGCCAACATCTTAGCAGCTCTGGAGATCTGATCCTTGGGAGCTATAGACGACGAAGAGTCAGCATCACTTTAGACTTTTGGGCCACGGTATAGCGGAGCAGCGAAGACTACTGCCAAGTGTCTCGCTATGCGATCAAGGGAGGGAGGGTAGACGGCGGTAACAATGCCATGGTAGAGACAAACGTACGGATGATGAGCGAGATCATGGAGGTACCGTTGCCACGGGCGGCCTCAAGACGCTTGATAAGCTTCTTGACCTTCCATATCTCGATCTATGGGCGGACAAGGACATATCGTCAGCATGCGAACATCACGTCGGCAACTCTGTTTTTTTGCGCGCGCGCAGTCGGGAGACGGATGATGAACCACTCACGTTCTTCTCGGCCTCGTTGGCGTTGGGATCCATCTTGGCGGTTTGGGGTGGTGAAGAAGAAGAAGAAGAGGAGGTGGACTGGATCGAGCTGTTGCTGGCGCCCTGGAATTAAGTTGGTGCAGCGAGCGTGGTTTGTGATGTCGTCCTTTGGGTTGGATCTGCTTTCAACGGGCGGCGAGCAGGGCAGGACGGCAAAGTGGGCAGGCAGGGCAGGTTGGGGTTGTTCTTTTTCTTTTTTGCCCACTAGAACTAATCCAACTAGGGTCGCCGGGGCAGTGTGCCTCGCCGCTGGATATCCTTGAATTTGGTGGGGTTCCAGGTCCAAAGAAATGAATGCGAAGTACGGAATAATTGACTGGATTGATGATTGCCAGAAGAGGATTCCAGGGAAGAGACTGCCCCGCCTGGTTTGGAATAAATACGGTAGTCTGCTGGCAGTGGGTTGTACAGTAACGCCTGCCACAAAGCAAGTCCAGAGAGGTTTCCGCTGCTCTGTCCGTCTGCTCCCGTCTGTCTTGTCCGCCCGTGAGAACTTTCTTCACTTCGCTTTTATCCCCGGCCCAACAAGTGGGGCACAACGCGAGTCATCATTGGCGTGCCCCTTGGGCCTCGACAACCGTGATCCCGCCCTTCTGATTCTCGCCTGACCTTCGTAGTGGCAGGCTTTCTCCAGCTTCAGTTCTCAACACCGCATCAACTTGGCACGACCTCAGATTGTGGCGTTTGACCGTCCAGCACACCAGGCCCCACCTTTTCTTCCTGTTTCAGAAAGAACTTGGAGAAAATTGCCTTGTGTCGGCCTACGATTGTCTCGAGGATTGTCATCGCAATGGTGACAAAGATGGCAATCTCGAGGCAATGTCGATGGAAGCGGTCTGGCCGTATTAGTCAACCACCACCCAGTATGCCAGGCACTCGATGGGATGTGTCTTTGTTGTTGCTGTCTTCACATGCAGTGTCGGGTGTCTTGGAAGCCGTGACTGACATATTCTGGAGAGAACTGAGCATGGCATGTCATCGCTGCCGTCTGCCCCTTGCCTGCCCCGTAGCCCTACCGCTCCAGTGGACTGCGCCAACCCCGGAAGGTACCTGAAGCTATGATGCATTATCGATTGGTGACCATGTGAAGTCCTCAACTCCATCCATAAACAACAACCCGAGAGAATAAACAATTGGGCGCAACACGTACCTTCATCGCATACCTCAACCATGGACTCCGACATCCCCATCCAGATCGCCGAGACCGTTCAGACAGCGCACATCAAGCGCGATCCCTCCCCTTCGCACGACATTAACCCCTCTACCGCGGCCTCCAAGCGCGAGCCCGCGTCCGTCCAGACACAACACCATGACTACCTAATAGACGACGGCGGGATTGATGAGGACGATGATGAAGATGAGTACGCACAGTCGAAAACAGAAACGGACGAGGAAAGCGACTACAACGTGGTCAAGTCCCGGCCGCGGCGCAACATCCATCAGCTACCCCCGATCCCGGACCTGCGGTACGAGCAGAGCTACCTGCACAGTATACGCAATGCAGACAGGTGGTGGAAGGTGGTGTTGATTACGGCGAGGGATCAGGCATGTTTTTTTTTTTTTCTGCTGGCTACCTTGAAAATCTCCATGACTACATGTCAACTAACACAAACCCCCTTCCTAAACAAACAGGTCATGATGCCCCTAGTCCAAGGTCTCCTCTACAACATGCTGGTCTGCGGATGGCAGTCCTGGAATCGAAACGCCCAGATCCACGGCTCCTCAATCGGAGCCCGGGTACGGCGCTGGTGGTACGGGGTCAACAACTGGGAGATTCCCCCTGCTCCCGGTCTATCCTCTCCTTCTGTTAAGCGATAAGCTACTTTATACCACCAAAAACTTTATTCTGGATCCATTCTTATACTTCTATTCCCCTTCGTTTTGTCGAAACAGGTCGCAAAATGTTCGCATCTTCCAGTTTCGCCGCTCCAGCAGCTGGAATCTTAAACGCAACTTCGGTGGAGGAGGAGTTGGCTACGGAGGAAAGGAGGGGAGGAAGGTGGTGGAGGCATTCAACCAGAACTTTCAGAGAGAGTTGGGCGGTGGTTTCGCTTGAGCGGCAAGGCGGATAGGCGTGGGCAAGGGGCCTTGAGGATGGAATATTTGCCTTACTTCATTGCATGGTGTTCTAGATGGCATCGAGACAAGCATCTTGACTTGAGCTTTCATGACAAAATGGGAAACATCATGGAAAGATGTGAAGATTGGCCATATCCGACTGGCTACATGCCCGGTGGGTAAGAGACTGTCACATGCTGTGCACGCAAGCTTTTCAATTTGTCTCGTGACTCTAGTAAACTCAAGGATGAAGATGCTATCATGACACAAATGTTTGCCGATATCATCGCCTCCATTCCGTGGTAGACGTTTCATTCCAATCCTCCAAATTCTCTTCCAAGCTCCCAATTGAGCTTCCGTTTAGAATAACATGTCAACCCCTTTTCGCCTCCATCGGGCAACGGAAGACCTAGAACAATCGCCCATCATGTAGTCTCCCAACCTTCTTTTTTTCTCTATGTCGCATATGATACCGCGATCTTGGTCCACATCAGATAACTTCGTGCATGATAATACTCCCTAGCCATGTTTTGTACACCCTGAACTCCCTACTTCCTCCGTGACTGACATAATCCCAGCAAAACCTAACAATAGAAAGAAAAGGAAAACAGGCAGAGCCATGACTAACCATACTGACAGAAAACGCTCTGACACTCGTCAACAGTCCATCTAACGGCCAACGAGTTTCTGGGGTTGAGGCTTTTCGGGACTCCTAATCGGCAAAGCCTGCTGTCCTCCGGGCGGTCCCAATCCCGGGGGCGGCGACAGGGGGCGTTTGATACCACCACCACCCTTTTCAACAAGGGGCTTAGCCGCGGCTTTCGTGAGTGGAATAGCAACGATCTCATCCTTGATTGCTGGCCCATCATCCACATCCGCCATGGGCATGTCATTCTCCTTGCCATCGCCGACCGACTGACCTCGAGACTGTGCGGGAGTCGACTCCTCGCTCACGACGATATTCCTATGTGCCGTCCGAGGGTGCTTGTGAGTAATCGTTGGCGAGAGGGGTGGACCATCAATTTTGGTGACTTTGGCGTTCTCGTCGAAGCCCACGCGGATGGGGAACTTGAACACGAGGCTGTTGTCGTGATCATCGTCATCTTTGGCATTGCCGTCGTCATCGAGATCGTCTTCGTCCGCCATGTCTGCATCCTCCTCATACTCCTCTTCGTCTTCTTCGTCCTCCTCCTCACCGTCGGCAGCCGGGACGTGCTCGTCTTCCTCGTCATCGCCAAAGTCCGGTTCCTCGCTAGCCTCGTCCTCTTCATCGGAATCGTAGTCGTCGGCCTTGCTGCGCTTCTTCTTTCGGGTGGTGGCGGCGGCAGAGCTCCATCCGTTCATGCTGTGGTGTACGGCGGCTGATCGTCTCGGGCGGCCTGTGGGTCCAACTGTGAGCTCTACTTGGTCTCCTTTCTTCGCGTCAGCGACGCCTCCCGTCATCTCGACATCCTCGTCGCCCTGGGCACTCGCCGGATTGCTGGCCGTCGTCTCGAACCGGGTGGGTGCTCTTACTTGCCGCCCGCTGGCGGTGGTGATGGGGCCGGCGGGCTCGGCGGGGGTGTGGTTCCTGGTGTTCCTGGTGGACCGCCGGGTCGCGGTCGAGTCCGTGTAGAAGTCGTCCTCGTCGTCCGAGAAGGTGTACTTCATGCGCTTGCCGCGGGTGCGGCCCTCGTACAGCGAAAGACCGGGCTCCGGCCGCTTGAACTGCTCCTTGCGCATGATCCGGTACTCTCTCCGTCTGCGCTTCTCCTCGGTGGCTTCGAATCGGGGGATGCTGTTGGCAATCCTCTTGGCCAGGGCTCGGGCCTTGGGTCCTCCATCGTTCTTTTCCAGCTTCTCGGCAAGCACCTTCAGCTCTTCAATGTTGCCGGCAACACTCCACCATGTTCGTGTGTGTCCTGCTGGATTGCTCTCCCTGTATACTCGGAAATGCGTGTCATCGTTGCCCTCGATCAGGTAGTATCTCCGCTTATCGCCGTCGGTTCCCCAAGGTTGAACGCTGAGGCCGACATTCAGATCGTCTTCGTGGCGGGTCCTGTAGTTCTTGTTGATCATAGTCTTGACGACCTCGGAGGACGCGAGGGACCAATGGATCAGTGTGCGCAGGAGAGCAAGCTGGAGGTCAATGACGAATTAGCCTTTGTGTTCCTTGTAACGTTTTGGAGTCTTTAAGTGCGGCGAGGAATGGCATACTCGTTGTACTGGGGTCATGGAGGCAAAGGTGGCACCTCCAGCAAGAGGGTTCTGACCCTCCCACTCCTTTGCCCATTGACTCTTGTGCGTCTGGATAGCTTCTTCGAGGGCGCGTCCATAATGACCGGCTCTGTTGTTTTGGATTCGTGTATTAGCCAGTTTGCACGAATTGTGTTGGGGCTGCTGTAGGCGGGGCAACACGCACTTGACATCCTGCTTGCGGTTAAGCATAAGGCCAAGCACCGCGCAGAGAAAGTTTTCGACGCGCTCGCCTGGGATAGTCTCGACCACGTCACGCTCCAGCTCTTGGGGTCCGAAATTGGCCAAACTTTTCGGAAACGCTTCGGTAAATCGGGCACGGAACATGACAATGAACTAGATAAACCCATGTTAGCAACCGATGGCGTCACATGCAATGGCACGCGCGACGGTTGGTGCTATTCCGCCCTTTCAACGCGACAAAAACGCGCAATCACGTACAGCAATGTCAGGGTTGTCGGCTAGAACATATTCATGAGGGGGGAAGGCTCCCTCTTGCGTCGCGGCGGCGTTGTCTCCCGGGGTGGGTTCAAGGCCGGGTTTTTGTCGACTTTGTGGAAGAATTTCAGGATGCCTTGATGGCGTTCCACTTCAATGTCGGCTTCATCATCGGTTGGCGGCGCCGATAGCGATGAGATGGACGAAAGATCGGAAGAGTCGTCGTCGGCCATGATGTGCGGTGGTGGTTGATGGCACTGCGTTTGCTCGTTGCGAGTTGCGGTGCTGAGGTTGAAGGACGAGCAAGGGTGCGTGCAAGGGAGAAAGTGGGTGCGGCAGTGAGGAGCAACGTTATAAGAGATCGGCCGCAATAAATTACGTACCGGGCCGCCAGCAAGAGTCCCAGGGCTCCCAGCCTAAGCTCACAGGAAGAGAACTGCACAAGGCGCCTGCTTGATAGGCACATTTACCAACGAATCCAAGGCGAAAAGCCGTCTTTCTTCTATCTAGCGCCGGAGCCGGGTTTGCCAGGTCCAACAAGCCGCTTGTTACCTCTATCATGACAAAAGTTCCATCCAACCGCACAGCCCATCACCTCTCCATGAAGTTCTGCCCGAGTCCCATCCCATTCGTAGCCCAGAGCCCAGAGCCCAAGCATTCCGTCGATGCCAGAACATGATTTCCAGGTAGCGCTCCTGGGTACCGGAGAAAGCCCGCATGACTCGCTTAAGGCAAGCTCTCGTCAAAGGTTCCAAGTACCCAAAAGGGGCCGAGGTGCATGGTTGGCGATGCGATATGCTAACGGCCACTATTCATAACAGTTGTAGAGGCGGCAGTTAGGGAAGATGGGTGTTTCGCCGGGGTTTTGGTGTTATCAAGCAAAGTGATGGGTTTTTCCAAGCCCCATGTGTTCCCCAAAAATATTGTTAGGGGACGAGCCCCAAGGGTCGACGTGTGATCCCAACGGGGACTGAGATCCCCTTGCCCTCAATGTTCCCCGTCCGGTGTGTGGTATGTCTTAGGTAGCAAGACGCGAATGGAGGGTGTGTATAGAGATGCAGGGAGCGAATGAAGGGAGTAAGCCAAGGCGCCGCTTTTCCCTGGCCTAGACACGGCATATAGACGCGATCTAGCAGGGACCCTCTGTTGCGGTAGCCGTGCCTCCATCCCCATCGCCAAAACAAGTGGTGCAACGACAACTCCAGCCTTGAAGCTATTCGCATTCCGGCCATCGTTGTCCACACCCAAAAACGAGATGACGTATCGCGGGTGCGGAGGCCACATTTCATGCGCCTATAAGGAGTTTCGAGACCTACCAGCAAAATTCAATGTCCCGACAGTGACAATGTCTTCAATAGGATCATGAATGAGCGCGAACACCCGCCGACCTCGACTCGCACTTGCGAAGTCCTTTGGCGGTGATCAAGGGGATGACTCGGGTTGGCGAAAGCTCGACGCTGCTCCTGCCTCCTGGGTCGAGAGGGCCTGCATCCACTGCATCGGTCGCTTGAACGATTTGAGTTCGCAAAACCCAAGGTCTTGCAGCGAAATGGTCCACATTAGCAGAACCACGGGCCTGGAGAACTCCAAATCGCAGCACACAAGCCGCGATCACGATGAGTAGTTCATTCGACGTCTGATAGTACAACGCAACTCATGGGATCAGTTGATCGCACCTGGCCAAATGTTAGACACCATCGGGGTGAAATTGAAAGGGCAAAAATAATGTATCTATCGTACTTAACTAGAGGCCTGCAGTTCTTCGTTTGGTTCGCTCCTGTGTTGAAGGTTATCGTGGCTGGCATCACTGCAGCGTCCAAGTGTCAATCCGGCGGGAGGTGTGAAGTTGGGCGGATGACGATAGGAAGTGGGTGGCGTTCCTGCTTTTGGCGTGACCTGATGGAACGTCCGCGTACCGTGTGACATTGTTACAGCGGAAGACTCTACACTGTCCGTCGCATCAAGTTGCGAAATGCAATGCGATTGAGAACAGCATCTCGACACAGCGAAAGACAGAATCGTCACATTGCAAAGCAAGATATGAGGCTTAGGCAACATTCCAGTTTATTACAAGGAAAGTATGCGACACTATTCACATAAACCTGAAGTTATTTTGATGGAAGTGACAACGATGTGAAGTGAATGGCACAAGGCTCGCCGTGAAGGGGAGCGTCCAGTCACGGGCGTTTGCAGCGTCTGATTGCGTCTCCACGTGATGCAATTAAGCACTTAAACGGAGCGTAAGCCACACGTCCCTGGCTGTCAGCCACACCCACTCCCCGCGTTAGGGCAGCTCGGCTAGCCGCACAGGCCTAGGGTGTGGCTTCATTTTCGCGCAAGTCCACACAAGAATTTGGAAAAATATCGTCTTGCTCTGACTTCGGGAGCTTTTTACGAAGCGCAACTCAACCTTCAACTTACCGAAACCCGGCCTTTACTTTCAATCATTTGAGGTAGGAGGGACAAAATGGGTCGCGTCGTAAGTAAATCCCGATATCTTCATTATCCAGCTGTTCTCTCGAAACGATCGCGACGAAATTTCCAATCTCGAAAACCGACGACGACAATGGGGGGAAAACCGACGATTGCAGAAATTCGGCGCCCAGGGCGGCAAGGGGGCGATTGGGAGATTTGGAAGTGATCGAATCGAGAGGATATTTGGCAATCAACAGCACATGGCCACACACGGCGGAGGAAGGACTCGGAGAACGAAACGGCAGTGATGGCGATGCTGACCATGCATCTTCTACCCTCAGATTCGCAACCAACGTAAGGGCCGCGGTTCCATCTTCACCGCCAACACCCGGTTGAACAAGGCCCCGGCTAAGTTCAGATCTCTCGACTATGCCGAGCGCCACGGCTACATCCGTGGTGTTGTGAAGGAGATCATTCACGACCCCGGTCGTGGTGCTCCTCTCGCCCGCGTTGTCTTCAACTCCCCCTACAAGTTCAAGAAGCAGAGCGAGACCTTCATCGCCAACGAGGGCATGTACACCGGCCAGTTCATCTACGCCGGCAAGAACGCCGCTCTCACCGTCGGCAACGTCCTCCCCCTCGCCTCCGTCCCTGAGGGTACCGTTGTCTCCAACGTCGAGGAGAAGGTTGGTGACCGTGGTGCTATCGGCCGTACCTCCGGTAACTACGTCACCGTTGTCGGCCACAACCCCGAGGAGGGCAAGACCCGCATCAAGCTCCCCTCCGGTGCCAAGAAGGTTGTCTCCAGCAGCGCTCGTGGCATGATCGGTATCGTTGCCGGTGGTGGCCGTACCGACAAGCCCCTTCTTAGTACGTTTCTCCCGGTATCCGTGGTTCTCTAGAAAGAGCGGAAGTGCTGACCAATTCTACAGAGGCTTCTCGCGCCAAGCATAAGTTCGCTGTCAAGCGCAACAGCTGGCCCAAGACTCGTGGTGTTGCCATGAACCCCGTCGACCATCCTCACGGTGGTGTAAGTTTTGCAGGTATCCAGGACTTTGATGATCGCGAGCTGACATGGTGCTACAGGGTAACCACCAACATATTGGTAAGGCTTCTACCATCTCCAGGTACGCTGCCCAGGGTCAAAAGGCGGGTCTCATTGCCGCCAGGAGAACTGGTCTCCTCCGCGGTACCCAGAAGACCAAGGAGTAAAGCGATTTCTTGTTTGTCATCTGGGCTGGGGTTTCTGGGATTGCATTGGTCTTTGCTGCTTTGTAGTTACGGGACTGCGAAGGCGGCTGGGAGACTTCCTCTTTCTGCAAGCATCTTGGAACGTACCGGAATAAAAATGATTCCCACCACACAAAGCAGCAAGACGGGTGCCAGATGCGAGCCGTGTTCTCTCATATGGTGGGCGAGCATGACCCGAAGAGTTCAGGTCACGTCATCGCATGAAGGAAACTCGGAAGGGCATGATAACTATCATCCTAGGCAAATTGATGAGCGGACATGATCGTTTTTCTTCGGTCAAAAGGAAGCAACTACAGCTACTAGTCTACACATCGTGACAAGACTATGTATGATGGGTAATGCGAAAGGAAGAGAAGACAACTCTATGTGGCATCTGATACTCTTGATGTTAGCAGGGAGAAAACATGATACCCAATTGCTCTACGCTGTTGTGCACGTACTGGCGCACCTGACGTCAAATGATGGAGACAAGGGACCGTTTGCTTGGATGCTCCCTTGACATACTAGCAGCTACTAAATGTACTTCCATGTGCAATGCACAACAGCAATAAGTACTTGCCCTGTTCCAGCGTGGTGTCTATTGTCGTGCGATCTCCAGCTCCTCCTCGCGGTCTCACCAACTGAGGTCCAACTGAAATGCTCAACACGCTATTGATAACTCGGCCGAAACGTATCATCACTGGAAATATTGAGTCTCTCATCAGTGTCTCATTTCCACTTGCTATTGGAGCTCGCCGCTGTGGTCGATCCAGTCCTGATGGGGCAGCTCGGAGTTTCTACTCCACCGCCCCAGTGAGCCCAATCCTTACGGCTACGGCGAATTCCACCTTGAACCCCTTGCGCGGTTGCTACCCCGCCGTGGGCTGCTTCTCGCTGTCAGCTTCGAATATTATTCTAGCCAACAACTCTTTCCACACAACAACACCAAGTCGCTTCAGCATTCGTAGCAACTCACTAGACAAGATGGCCGCCAACAAGGACTACAGACTTCTCTGCCTCGAGAACCCCCTTCTCGGTGAGCCCTACTCTCCCGTCCCACGCCAATTCTTCTTTCCTTGCGCTTGAATTGGCGCCTGCCAATTTTCTTGGGCACCAGTTCAAGCGGCTTTCCATATGCCCGGTTTCGCCCCGCAGCACTATGGCGCAACTTCCTGCTTAACTATGGTCAAAACCTGCGTGAGCATGCAGCTAACAGCCAGCTTCCAGACATCCAGGCCTTTGGCGATGAGGCTCTCCTCGAGAAGTACGGCCTCAAGGCCAACGACGCCATCCTCGCCGAGGAAAAGCACCAGGGCCTCTTCGAGGACCTCCTTCAGAACTACGATGCTAAGCTGATCGCCGGTGGTGCTGCCCAGAACACCGCCCGCGGTGCTCAGTACCTCCTCCCTCCCAACAGCGTCGTCTACCTCGGCGGTGTCGGTGACGACAAGTACGCCGCCATCCTCCACGATGCTGTCAAGCAGGCTGGCCTCCGCGTCGAGTACCGTGTCGACCCCAAGATCAACACCGGCCGTTGCGGTGTTGTCATTACTGGCCACAACCGCTCCATGTGCACCGAGCTCGGTGCCGCCAACCACTACGACCTTGAGCACTTGAAGAAGCCCGAGGTCTGGTCCCTCGTCGAGAACGCTGAGGTTTACTATGTCGGTGGTTACCACTTCACCGTCTGCCCTCCTGCCATCATGGAGCTCGCCAAGCAGGCTGCCAGCGGCAACAAGCCCTTCATCCTCTCTCTCTCCGCCCCCTTCATTTGCCAGTTCTTCAAGGAGCCCCTTGATGCCTCTGCTCCCTACTGGGACTACGTGATCGGCAACGAGGGTGAGGCCGCCGCCTACGCCGAGTCCCACGGCCTCAACATCACTGATGTTAAGGAGATCGCCAAGGCTCTTGCCAACCTCCCCAAGGAGAACACCCAGCGCAAGCGTGTTGCCATCATCACCCAGGGCACCGAGCCTACCATCGTTGCCGTCCAGGGCGAGGATGAGGTCAAGGAGTTCCCCGTCCACTCCATCGATCCCGCCAAGATCAACGACACCAACGGTGCCGGTGATGCCTTTGCCGGTGGCTTCGCCGCCGGTGTTGTTGAGGGCAAGTCCCTCGAGGAGTCCATCCACATGGGCCAGTGGCTTGCTAAGCTCTCTATCCAGGAGCTTGGTCCTTCGTAAGTTTCCACAAGTCTCTTATTCTGCACTGCTTATCATTCCACAGCCAATGACTAACTCCTTGTCTCAACAGTTACCCCTTCCCCAAGCAGTCTTACCCCGGCCACAACTAAATCTGGGAGACCAGCTTTGGTTTAGTTAGCAAGGAGTGAGGGGAAGAAGAAGAAAACGAAGAAGAGTAGATAGGTAGATCATTATCCTGCTGTTCAGTCGGCAATGGGAGAAGGGGCAGGGCGTATTGGTTATAAGGTATCCAGGAGGTCATTTAACATTAGGCTTGGGGTACTTTACTACATACACATCACATGGTTTGAAAAGATCTTGGCATAGGGTCAAAGAAGTCGGCATCTAAGGTCAACAAAATTGGGTTTCAACAACGGCACAATATACCACGGGGGTTTTTACGGCAATCAACGTATACTATCTATCTATACCTTTGCTAGAGTCATTGATTGCAAGAGTGACATGGCTTGAACGAAGCTGGTATAAAGAAGCTCGAGAAGCTGGATTGACTATGAATGCATGGGTTGGGGTCTGACAGCGGGACTCTCAAACCAGGTTCAAAGAATGGCTTCCCTCATCAACGGCCATATTCCTGAACCCTCTGCGCTTACCGTGTATGGCTCGATGTTGATACCTGTCACCTAGTTTCCAGGTAGGTTCAGCGTCGGCGGAACACTTGAACACAGACAGTCTTCGTATCCTCATGACGCTCGGCCGAGAGAATTCTTAAATTACCTACAAGTGCTGATCTCTCGCCCAATATGAAAATTTTCACGGCTGGGTTTGGATCAGCTCCAGCTTATAAAAATCATGAGCACGATGCTTCTAGGAAGTCCTTCTTGATCTGTCTTCATATACGTGCTAAGATCCTTGGCTTACTACTCGTAGCGGTTCTTTCACTTTAGCAACAATGTCGGAAAGACTGCCGCTTACTTCTGCCTACCCGGCTCAGCTTTTGTGGTTGCGGCTGGGCGATACTTCGCGGTTGAAGATCATCCAGATTTTTTTCAACTCCCCTTTTCTCGTCCCTTCCTTTTCTCATACCATTCTTCTTCCTCCTTCTTAATGGTGCATCAAATTCCTTGCATGATCACTCCTTCGCAACTTGGTCGGTTAACACCCGGTTTGCCGTTGACCACATTAGGTAGGTAAGGTACATACCTCTCATGGCTTCATCGTGGTAGGGAAGTGGGTTCGGTTGTTTGGGCAGGGCACCGATGAGACTGGACCTCGGAAGGCATCTAGGTATTTATCTGTTGAGAACGAAACAGGTTACCAACAGCCCAAACATGCCAGCGTGTATATATACATGCCCCGATCAGAGAGGCATATGGAAGAAGACATCGCACAGACATGGTGTATGGCAATTTAGCCTTGAATGTTTTCTCGTAAAGTTTTAATGGTTTGTGTAAAAGTCAAGTATCGAAGCTTGCGTGTGTCAATCTGGTAAAACTCAAAATTATGCTTTTGGATGCGTTGTTTCTTGCATTCTTTCCTTGTTCCTCTTCTTCTCACTTGTCTTCATCCCTCTGGATCATGTTCCCGATTTCTCTTTTGCTCCTATCATCCATCATATCCCCTTAAGAACGGAAACCAGATCGCTTCTTGGTTGTTTCGCTCCTCCACCGTGTTCTTCACCTGTTTTCCTCCTTTCAAAAATTCCTTAAAGCCACGTAGTTTGGTTAATGATGATACGCTGGATTCCGTCGCTCAAGAGAGGCGAGACAGACGAAATCAACAAGAACCTACACACTTGCTTCCAGTAAGTGACTGGATCAAGGGACGACTTAGGCCGAAAAGACCAAACGCGCAAATAGTGAAACGAATCCAAGACGTATGCGCGGTACGCAATAGTAAAGGAATCAGAAGGTAAGCGGAATAACTCCGAAGGTGGGCGAACAGCCTTCCGGCTTTTGCTGATTCCGTCTCGAGCGGGTGCCATCTACTTGTATACTGGTGCTCCCTATGCTTGGTATGGCTCATCATCTTTGCCCGACTCCCAAGGGTCAGACAACGTAGACGCCCAGACAACCAACAGCCGAGGCATCAAGGACAGCCCAAATGATTGAAGCCTCCATCATGGTATGACCAGGAACCATCGCCAATGTCCTTGACCATTTTTGTCACCTGTTTGCCCCAATGCAATATCGGGTGGATTATCGCTTAGCAAGTGATCGTGAACGTGTTGCCGCAAAACGTTGTGGTGTCGATATTCGCTACCAGCAATGCTGTAGATTCCCAATCAGACTAAGCCGATGAGTCCTTAACGCAGATTTGTAGGCGACAGGCGTCGACCTTTTGACCGTTGTTGCCATCACTGAAGAGTCCCAGTATGGTGAAAACCAGTGTTCATGTTTTGACCTGTGATCAGCGTCGACATTCAACGCTTCGGGAAGCCAGGAGGGGGCTGAGGCCTTCCGCCAGCTCCGAAGCCTGGAGGTGCGCCAGCGAAAGCAGCTGAGGTGCGCTCGCAGTCATTAGCCCAAGCATTCATAAGAGCTTGCCTGTTGTACTCGTCAACCTGAGAAGAGGCATACGCGCCAGCGTTTGACTGGTTGAAAGCATTTTGCTGTGCGGTCCTGGTAGCCATGCCACTCTGTCCGAAGCCGTTGAATGCATCAAACTGTCCCCCATTTCCATATGTGCCACTGGGGCTCGAGTTTCGAGGGCCAAAGCCCGGGGGAATCCTACCAGCAAGCCCGGCAGACTTGGGCTGGGATGACACGCTGGGGTTGCGGTTGGGAATAGCATCCCAGTGGGACTTTGCTGGCAGGCCCCAAGGACTATTGACCGGAGGAAGGCTAGAAGTCGCACCTGAGAAGGTCATAGAGGAGAACGGGGAGTTGGGCATGTCGCCCCACAACCCGGAGGGATTGGTGGCCGTAGTATTCCAACCAGTACCAGGCTGGCCGACACTGGACCGTTGCCTGGTATGCGAAGCTGATGCCTGTCCCAGCTCCGGCCACGCACCGCGGGGAGAAGCAGCCTGATGCTTCGCGGAAGTGGACGGGATAAGGCTGGCCAGTTGGTTGGCAAGTTGCTGTTCAATAGTGCTGGGGCCAGTGGTGATTGAGGCTCCTGATGGCATTGCCGCGTTGCTCATGCTCTTGGAATGCATATACGGCGATCCCTGTCCTCCCCAAGAACCGGGAGTACCACGACCAACAGAAGACCTCGGAACTTCGTTGTCAGCAGTGCCAGGAGTGTAGAAGTAGTTCCAGGGCAATTGCTGGAATCCTCTGGCAGTAGCTGACCCAGGAGCCGACCCAGAAGCGGAACCTTGTCCGGAACCAGAGCCTGGGCTAGGAGATCCGAAAGCATTCCGAAGCTCGTTAGCGGTGGCAGAACCAATTCCGTACGAAGTCTCGTCTTGTCCATGGCTGCTGGGCTTCCGAGAATGGCCGGTCGTATCCGGGGGAGCAAGGAAATCGCTCAAGAGCTGGTACATTTGGGCGTCGATGGAGTACTCGGAGTTTGAAGCGGCCTGCGGTGCCTTCGGGGCACGCGAAACCGAAGGCTGGCTCACAGGAGGCTGAATCTCCTTGGGGTCTCTGTAAAAATCGCGATCTTCGGCAAACTCGTCCAGACTGTCCAGAGCAACCTCCTCAATAGGTGCCGTGACAGGAGCGGTAACTGGGGCAGCAACGGGGGCCGTAAGAGAGGCCGCAACCGGAGCGTTCACAGGAACCTGGTCAACAATGGGAGACGGGATATCCTCGGTAACCGGGAATCCAGTCTCGGGAGAGGGCCGCTGTTCAACTTCAGACTGCGCAACGGGCTGCTGTTTTCCACCTTCCGCATACGCGAACTTGGTGACCTCACGCGAGTCCTCCATAAGTTTGCAGACCACAAGAGGAAAAGTCGAGCGTTCAGCAAGATCGATCGCACAGAAGAGGACATCGAAGATGCGAGTGAAGGCAACGTCGTCCTCCGTAAAGCTGGCATCCTTGACGTCCTCAGCCCTGGGCTTCGGCTGGCAAGTGGTGGGATCGTAAGACAGCTGGCAGCCGTCATGAAGGTCGGGCCCGTTCAAGCATTTGATACCAATGGTTTCCTCGTCCTCGGGGAACTGGTAGGGCACAATAGACTTGAGTTTAGTATCGCTCAGCCACAGCTCGAACAGAACGGTAAGCGCGCGGGCAAGAGCCTTGCACATGTTTCCGTAAAGGGGCTCCAGGTAGGCCTGGAAGTCCACGATGTCCTTGCTGTAGGAGCAAAGCCAGGCCATATACACGCGCAAAAGGGGCAGCGTGCGTTGGAAGGTGGCAGTATATCTGCTAGCCGTATCCGCTTTCTTTGCGGAGGCAGCACTAGGGGCAGCCGGACGTCGAAGGATATCCTGAACCTCCTCGTGGAGGATGCGGGAGATCGTATGAATCACACGAACGTTTTGCAACAAGATGAACTGGCAGGACAGGGATCTCTCGGCGGTCCAACCGGCTACACAGCCATGTTAGTATCCAGACATGTAATAGTTGCCGGTAATTCAGCTTACCTTCAACGTTCTTCTTTCCGACAACGTAAGCCGTGATGTTGATCAGCACCATCTTCAGAAGAACCTTGGTGACATCAGCTTGGTTGCTCTTGGTCAAAGCCAAGGCCAAACGAGTGTCAACCTCGGCTTCAAGTTCCTTGCGCTCGTTGAACTCTTCTCCCTTTGAGTAAAAGGCATGGAGCTTGACAAACCAAGAGATCATGGCATCGTCACTGCCCTTGGCCGCGGCAGCAGCTTTACGCTTGCGGAGGGTTTTGAACTCGGTTTCGAGGTTGGCCGGGGCATTCGGGTGCGGCTTGTCACATGCGATGGCGCGGTAGAAGTGGTAGACAACCTCAAGATGGTTCTCGAGGGTGGCATAAATGTGCCCACTCTGGTGATGGGCAAATCCAGACTCTGGCATGAGGTCGTTGGCCATTGAGTAGTAAGCCAGGGCGGTATCGAAGCGGCGGTCCTTGGAGCGGATGAGAGTGCGGTATCTGGCCAAGTCGCCCATATAGACGAGAGTTCTGTGGCAGGACGCGGTGACAAGCCCTTCAAGATTCGCAGCAGCGGGGTCGACCCTGTCTTCGTCCGGCACAGACATGTCCTCGAGATCGGCCATGCGAGCAATACGCTTCAGTGCCTTCATGTTGTAGCGAGCGCACACGCGCTGGAGATAGCCCTTGTAGAAATATTGGGTCGTCTTGAGGAAGGCCAGGTAGAGCTTCTCTATGCTGCGCTTGTGGACCGCTTGACCAGATCCCTGGATTTTTCCGATGGCGTTTCGGTAGGTATTCGTGACCATGCTATGGGTGCTCCAGAGGGTTTGCTCGACGTCCAGTTCGCTCGCCGCGCGAATATCGGTCCAGATAATGCTAACGCAATGGAGACGGTAGCTAGCAGCGTATTAGTCAAACATGAAGTCTTTGTTGGTCACGGACAGCTCCCACTTTTCCATTAGCTTCTCAATCTTTTGGAAGCGAGCCTCCTCGTTCGAACCCGGTCCGCCATGCTGGATGCTTTGGGTTTCCTTGTGGATTGCAGCTCGAACCTTCTGGGCCGCCCTACGACACCAACTTCGTTAGCAAGAGTCTCTTTCGTGAACAATCCAACCGTTATGCCCAGGCTCAAAGGCCACTCACTTCCATGCCTCCTCGGCCGTTGGGATTGCACCTGTAGTCGCCATGATTCCGGGTTGGGCGCAGTGTCGACGAGCAGTTGATGTCACCCGCTACGGATAAAAGTTGTTGTGCGGAGAAGAAAGGGCAAGGAGACGAGACAAGATCGATGGGCGTCCGTCTGGAGGGGGGACTGGAGCGTTTATGTATGAGGGTTGGGGGTGGGCGCCCGAGCAGGAGTATGTAAGTATGCCGAAGTATGCGCAGAGTTTCGGCGTGTCGTAGTCGGAGGTCTACCGGAGTAGGTAGGTAAATGTTATGTGCAGATTCCGGGTAACTGAGCATCAAGCTCTAAGCCTGGACAAACCGAGATGGGGGCGGTTGTACTGCAAGTGCTCCATCACTCATTCAGAACTTGTCTTCGGCGGATGTGCGCAGGAGGGCGCTGCGTCTTGCGGGCTGCAGGTCGACGACGGTCCGGCGATGTTGAGCACATTGGAAGGCGGGACAAAAAATTGTATGACTAGAACGGCGAGGCGAGACCCGTATCGCAGCAATCGGAGACGAGCACGCGGCGGGCGTAGTGGGTGGGTGGTCGTTAAGAGAAATCCTATGCCGATCCGGTGACGCGCGCAAGGCGGAACCCCAAAAACAAAGATCGGGTCTCAGCAACAAAAAAAAAAAGAGTTGGGTCGGATATGTAGAGAGATGCAAAAAGTTGAAGGGATTCACGCGCGCAATCATGTGTGTGGTCCGTCCTCTCTGCCGCTCGCCAAAGAGTCGGGTCCTTTGACGTTGGACTGCTGCGACTTGGAAGGCCGATGTACAAATGGAAAGCCCCTCCTGGAGAAGCACCAGCTCGCTCTAGCGGCCCAATCAGCGGAGATCGCCCGGATGAAACACGCTGGGGGCGAAGTCGTTAGCTGGGTTGGTGAAGGTTTCCAGCACCAACGGCGCTCTAGCAACGCTAACAACCTAGTAGGTATCGCGAAGGGCAGTTGGCTCGTGCACATTTGCCTTCACTCCCGTCCGGCTGGGGCTGTCTTTTCACATCATCTGTCGACATCGGATTCCACTCCAACACCCAACATCTGAGCTTGCGCCAACCTACCACTTACAAACAAACAGTCATATGCGAACAACCTACGTACATACCATTTGTAATTGAGAGGAATGAACCGCACAAAACATTGAATTCCCATTTTCAAGGAGTAAAGTTGGTTAGAGAAACCACAGTATCGAGTTATTCCACGACAAGGTTACTACCGGTCTGATTCACCACAACCAACGTCGCTACCAGATACGCAACAAAGGGTAAGGGTAGCAGGCAGCATACCTAGCCCATGACCAACAGATCTCAGGTACAGCCATCGCCGTCAAAGAACACCAAAAAGGCACAAACATGAAGCGGTCACGCGAACCGGAGAAGGAGGACCCTCCGTCCCAACAACAAACAGCATTATCTCCTTATCCAGCAGACCAACAGCACACAGGTGATACCACCGGTACAACAACGAGCCGATCTACCAGCGCCGATGTCTCCGGTTCACCACCCGCTGCCAAGATCGCTGAGCTGGATCCCGCCGAAAGCCCCAGCCAAGCCGGGATGCAGATGAAGTGTTCGCTGCCGCCACACAAGGACATACTGGTGTTTTCGACCTACTCCGAGTACGAATCCCATTACAACAGCACCCACACCAACCGGTGTCTCGAGTGCCGTAAGAACTTCCCCTCGGCTTATCTGCTCGGGCTGCACATCGAGGAGAATCATGACTCCTTTATGTCTGTCAAAAGAGACAGAGGTGAACACACGGTATGTCCTGTCTTCCTGCTCCTCCTCCTTCCCATCTGGTCTGGCCGCTAACCAACGCTGCAGTACTCCTGCTTCGTGGAAGGTTGCGACCGGAAATGCATGACGCCCCAAAAGCGACGGATGCATCTCATCGATAAGCACATGTATCCCAGAAATTTCTTCTTCGCGGTGACCCTGCACGGTATCGACGGGCGGCAATCGATGCTGCTGGATGAGCGGCGGAAACCGGGCAACAGGGCACCGACAACGGCAACAAAAACGGGCTCTCCGAAGCCCAAGCCCACCTCCAAGTCAAAACCTCCCTCAGAGACGAAGGAGAAGCAAATGGAAGGGCAGATGGAAGTAGACCAGCCCGAGCTTGAGACCGCTCCAACATCGACGAAAACTGAAGCTGAGATGACTGACGAACAGCATGAGGAGCCGGTGAAGGAGACGGTTGACGTGGATATGGGCGACTTGGTAGGCAAGATGTCGGCACTGCAGTTTGTGCCCTCCAGCGTGAGATTTGGTCGTGGAGGACGGAAGACTGGATTCGCTAGAGGGTGATAACAGAGGAAGTGGGCAAGAGAGGATCCGCTACGCTTGACCAAGCGAATTCCATTAGTCTCGAGCAACTGAAGCATAATATTGCACAGCCAAAACGGAAACATGCTGATTGAGTGCTCACATTCCATATCATGACAGAGCATGTTCGTGAGGTTGTTATATCTGCTTCCGAAACAGTAAGCATCAGGCATAGCTTTGCAAAGGAGAAAGCATATTGTCTTACCCTCTCCTCCCGTAACGCCTCTATCCCACCTCCCAAATGCGGGCTTCAAAAAGAGATATTGTTGGTATCATTATCGCGGTGCGGAATAGCCGCTCGCCGGCTCCTGCTCGCTCCCGCCTCCCATGGTTTCTCCATCACATTTCGATCTTGAAAATTGTTGTTTGTCCCCTCCGATTCCCTCTTCAGTCTCGCAATAACCCCACCCCGTTCTCCTTCTCTTTAATCGCCAGTGGCACACCCTCTGCACCCACAGCTCACGCACTGCACATCCTGGCCCTCCTTCAGCTCGGCCTTGGGTACGCGGCAGATGCACGTCGAGTTGAAGTTGGTCTCCTTGGTCTGAATGCAGCGCAAACAGCACAGCTTCTCGTAGCCGTTCTTCTTCCACTTGGCAATCAGCATCGCGTCCGCGTATCCGTTCTTGAGCAGCCACTCGTACAGCTGCTTGCTGATGGCTTCCTTCTCGTAGTAGAGCTCGTAGATGTACCGGCTCCGCTGGTGCGAAATCTGGAAGATGGGCCATTTGGCCTGGTGCTTGGGGATGTTGTCCGTCGGCATGTTCTGCGCGTCCTTCATCTTGTTGGCGAAGATGAGCAGGTCCTCCTCGATGTCGGCGAAGCCCTCTGGGGGTGGCTTGCGCTTCGAGGCGGGGCGAATGGCGGGCATTGTGAGGTTGTCGGTGGCTCTCGGTTTCGAGGTTTTGTGAGCGGCGTATCAGTGTACGTAGTTTGTGTCGCGCTGTTGTGTATATTTGGGAGAAGAGAATCAAAAGTTGCGGTGATATCGCAATGGTTTGTTTGGAAGATGTGAGAACTTCAATGCACTGCAGTGGGCGGCTGGACAGAGAGAGCTGTGATCCGCGCTTGCCTGCCAGAAATGCCTTGCGACTGTGGCGCCAACGTCACTGGTTTCTCATTGCTGTTGTGGCTAGTGCTCTCCGCGCCCGCAGTCTGGGTGTAAGAGCGACTGTGGCTTAGCTTGATGTTACCCCAAACCGACTGCTGAAGCTACAAGCCGTCATGCGAACGACGACCTAGCTTGGCGAACGGCGACAACCTCCAAAGGTCTTCGAGTCGCGAATTGGCCCAAAATGTCTATCACACCTACCAAGTACGCCATCACCACCAGGCAGTGTAAGTGCCCCGAGCTCCCAAGCTGAACGAGCAAGTCTGACGGCCAATTGTAGCGGCGAACTGGGACGACGCCAAACGGAGGGTGTTCGCCCTTTATCGGCGATGGCTCCGATCGGTACGTTCACGAACGAATAGGGAAACGAGTGATTCCCAGCATTTGACGACGGACACGTTCGATATCGATTGATATACTGGGAGGCGTGCGAGAAACAACCCAACCGAGGATTTGCTAATGAGGATATCGCAATACAACAGACACCCGAGATGCAGTCCATGTACTCGCTACCCCTCCCCATCTCGGTCATTCGCACGCGCATCAGACAGGAATTCGAGCGCAACCGCTTCGTTAACAAGTTGAACGTGGTGGATGTTCTGCTCACAAAGGGCCATGCCGACTACCAAGTAAGGCTCCACTTCATCGTCACTATCCACATGGACATGAATCAGGGGATTCCTAGGAACGGGCACAGCAGTGGGGTCCATGCCCAAAATCTGGAGAACCCCCAAATGGAGAGAAGGGGGAGTGGTTCCAGACAAGGGGTCCGCGAAGATGGGATATCAAAGCGCCGGCACATGTTGTGCGCCGTCGGCAATTCGAAGTGGTTGTTATGGTACTTTGACGCTGACTCTCCATGCGTCTCTATCAGGAAACCATGAACTTCTGGCGCCAGACGACTCACATGATGTCGTACTTCAACGAGGAGAGCTTCCGTGGAGCCAAGAGGCTTCCTTCCAGCTTTATCGATGGCTTCCTGCAGGTAAGCCTATACATCCAACTTTCTTGTCTCTTGGTGATGACCATGTTCCGATGTGTGGGTAGCTCACAGTACTCTTGTCTCATTTTAGGGTCGCAACTAAGAAGAGCGATAACGAAGGGTATCAGTTGTCAGCCTTTCCGCTAGAGCCTATGTATATAACCCAAGCCAGAGAAACATCCATGGACGCAACCGCTTGTCCTTTTATCTTCTCCCCTTGTTTTAATATCCACTCACAGCAAGTCTCTTCTCTGTTTGTATGCCTCTTTTTGCTTCCCCTCCATGTGGATTACTACTCCCAAGCCAAAGCCCAATAACGCCATTACCCATGCTGGTGAAACTACGATGAAAAGGAAAGGTAGAAAAGAAGATGGGTTATGCGGACGCAGAAGCCTTCTTCTCGGCGAAGTCATTGCGAGCCTCAAGGAACTTGTCCGACACCACGTCGCAGAGTTCCTGAATGTCGCGCAGGCCCTTGCGGAGCGCCTCGACAGCGGTTGTGCCCTCTGTATGTTGCTGTTAGTCCACATATCCATGAATATCTACTCAGCAGGAGGACGAGGGAAGGTCACGCACCGTAGGTCTGGATTCTGACGTTCATCTTGGCCTCGGAGGGATGGGGAATGGCGTAGGCGCAGAACTCGACATCAGGGCTATCAAATGGTATTAGCACACACGGAATAACTCAGTTCATTCAGGAGAAGACATGTGAAGCTCAAGAACTCACTTCTTCATAATGACGTATCTGAGAGCGTTGCCAAGAGTATGGTTTTCCTCGAGGAACTCGAAAGAAGCGGCAGTGGGCGTAGAGCCGGGAAGCTGTGCCAATGTTAGTTAAAATGGTCCTATAGATGATTCTAGAGGATTGTTCGGTTTCACATACAAGTCTAACTTTAGTTGACGCTCCCTCCTCTTCGTACTCCTCCTCGCCCTCCTCGCCCTCCTCGCCCGCATCCGCCATGGAGACATCATCCTGAGTCTCGGGCTGGTGAGAGGTCGGGGTCTCCTTCATGGTAACCTCCTCGCCATCGTCGCCGAACTTGGTGATCTTGCCCATTTTGACTGTAGTAGTAATCTTGGTGACCGAAAAGTGTGCCGGGGAAATATTCAGCCGTCGAGCGGACTCGTTGTTGACTTGGATAAGTATATGCCGTTCAAAGCACAAGAATGGGTTGAATTCAAGTTGTCGGCGGCGCGCGAGCGAGTGAATGGTGAACAACAACCTGGTTGATATGAGCCTCTATCGCCCTCTGTTATCGGAGAAATTTTTAGCGTGGAAAAGAAGTGGAAAGAGTTCGTCCGTCTGCCAAGACTTTTGTTAAGGTAAGGACGGTTTGCCCCCACCACTCACTGCACCTGAAAGTTAGGCGAACCTGCCGCAGCGCAGACAGTTTTCCCCACCTGCGGACAGCCATTTGGCCTGTCGGGTTGGCTTCCGGGGATGCTCTACCGAGCTGAGTTGAGCTTTGGCCAGATTTCACAAACTCGAGACTCCCTCACTTCACCACCCGCCTTACCATGAACGAGCCCTTTCGAGATTCGGTTACGCCCTGTACGTAGAGGGGCTCACCTTTGGAATTCGTTTTGTGACCAATATTGAGGCGTTTGCGGGACGCTCGGGCAAAAGTCATGAAACCAGAGTGTCTCCACAACCCCCCTCATCTCGCCCGTCCAGTTGTACAGCCGACGCTTACGTTCAGTTATATCATAAAATAGCAGGACACGAAGCCCATATTCAAGACTTTTTATCTAGACACCACGCAGTCAGATACCGGGTCCACTACCCGAAACCTCTCCGAATGATATCACAACACATGGGTCAGAGGCTGGGGAGGACCAGACTGACAGTCTCCCCAGGAAACATTCCCACCTCGCGAACTTGACCTTCGATCCCACGATAATCAGTTCATAGACAGCAAGTCACCATGGCAAGTGACCTTCTGAAACAGTCGCCCGGCAATGCTACCCTGTATCTTTATTGGTTGTGGTCGTGCTCGTAGCTCACGGATTCCGGGCCCGATGATGGACCTTGAGCCGTGATGCCGTGATATCCCATACTTTGTTCGACTTTCATCCCATCTCTCCCCATCCCTCCGGCATTACCTACCCGCCCCCCTCTACGCACCGTATAAAGTCCCCCACTAAACGCCAATTCCAGCGCGGTATCAACTGGCCAGATGGCCGGGTGGTTCCGTGTGATGAGAACATTGCCGGTGTGCGTGGGAGGTACTTGTTGCGAACTTCGAAACACATGCTGCCCATTGGGCTTACGGGGAAATTGTATGTGCTGATGATGTTGATTGCGTTGATATTTAGTGTCAAGCTGTGGCTGGCGAGAAACGGCTATATCTTAAATCAGGAGGCCCCGGTAGAGAATGCTTTTGTAGGTTGCTACCATTTTGGGAATTATACTCCTCGAAGGCAATTATCAATAGGGATAATGCTTATGTTGGATGGAAGAAAGCGACGAACTTACCACTCCGTGGTGTTTCTAGTATTGCAGATCAAACCAGCTTAGTCGTGGAAGACGACTATCCTCGCATTTTTCTTCTTCTATTTAGCATCGGTAATTTGAGCAATGTTGCTCTCTCTGTCCACATGAGGCTTGGGGTGTGTGGCTCGATGGAGGGTTGGTGTGGTTGGGAGAAGGAGGTAAGATGTCGGAATGTTAAAAAGGGTCTAGTAGAAGCTTGGAAGGAATCAAACTGAATGTCCTCGTGTGAAGTTTAGTGAAATCGTTAGAACGCATCTTTGTTCCCCACAATGATATTTCACCTCATCATGTATTCTCAGTCGTTGGGGTCTTTGGGAGGCTGCAACGGACCCAGAACATGACTTAACTTTAACTAATAACCCCGTTCCGTATATACATATACTTATGTTCTTGATCATGATCATCCTCGCATGATGAATTCCACTGCGCTGATGTTCACCCTGCAACACAACTTCAATATCCCATGACCATCGCAGCAAATACCTGTTCCAATCCTCATCTGACGGACCGTCAGTGTATGAGAATGAAGCGTTTCCTCTACAGTCATTTATCAAGATCATATGTTGACCATAATCTCCACCTAGAAATGGCATCAAAACAAACGTCATTAAGCCACACGGAAGAAAAGAAAGAAGAAAGAAAAAAGGAGAGAGAAAGTGGCAGATACCGTCTCCTTCCAGCCCACTTATCACAGCACTGTCATATACTGGCGGCTCGCCCACTGGGCCTTTCGATTTTAAGTTTTGGGCCGCGTTTACGCTATGGGCAACACATGATTTACACTGGCAATAGGCCTCGGTTTGCCCTCGGATTAATGGTTTTGGTGGACAGTTAGGGCATTGCTCTTAATTTTGTATGCTAGACTCACCGGTGCGGCACGTCTCATGCCCTACGGGAGGCGGAAGTAGACGTTAAAAATAACAACAACAACAACAACTTATCACAGCACTTTCTAATAGCCCAGCAGCTAATTGGCACCCTCCCCCTAAGCATCATGTCATAGCCCGCGCTTCTCTTCAACCGGTCTCCCAGAGGGGCCAGGATCATCATGTAAGGACCCGTTCGTCCCCTGGGGAAACAGTGAACAGGTAATTCCGCGGCTCGCCGAGCCACAGACACGAAGAGATCACGAGCTAGGTAGGGGTTGGTTATGGTATATCGTAGTCCTGTCCGACTCAAGATAATGCGGGGACCCGGGAGTGGATGGAGGATAGAGGATAGTGTGGGTAGGGGGTGAATGGGTTGTATTTTGCTGCTGATTGAGTTGGTAGTTTTCTTCTGCCTAAGAACTAGGCGCCGTGGTCTTTTGCAGCTGGTAGCGTTTTCTTGGTGACGGCTGTCAAGTGATGTTGTTATCCCTCTCTCTTTCGCTTTCGATCATGCCAAGGTTACCTACCTAGGGGGCGTGATCATGCAACTTGCAACGATCTGTACCTACCTAGAGCCATATATTCACACTACAAGCACAAGATCACCGGCACCCTCTGCTAGGCCCATCCATTCGCAAACATGCCGTCCAAGCTACTTATTTTTCTAACCTGCCAACATCTGTTCCCACGAACCAAAAGACCTAGCACGTCGATGGTTTGTTTCGTAATCATGTTTAATGAGGCTCAAGCCTGCAATGCTACCAGTGTCGCACCCCTCCAGAGTCAGAATCCTGCACGAGTTCATGTCATGTTATGTACCGTTCCGTACCGTCCCTGCTGCGGGTGTGGTGTTGGGAAGGAGGGAACGTGCTGTCTGGAATGCTCGTCGGAAATATCAGCATGCAACGCTTCCAGGTTATTACACGATGCCTGGCGATATCAGAGTGGCATCAAACACTGAAGCCAACACGAAGTAGCAATTAAACAACCCCCCCCCCCCTTGAGAAACGGGGACCTTTTGAACCGCCGATAAGCCGAACGGTTTTTTATATGGACGGGAGGCAATAGTGAAAGGATAAGTCTCCGAGATCCGAAGGGAGAGAAACTCATAGTTGGGCCAGGAATATTCGAGTGATATGAAAGGATGACTCGCCATAACAACGTCATATGTGAAGGGAAGTTTTCTGACTGCCACGTCCTGACACCGACTGAACGGATGCTGTGCCAGTGGGCTGTGTCTCGTGCAGATATTCCTTCTCATTCTCACCACGCGTAAACCAGTTGAGCCAGAGTTGGCCAATGTGTTCCAGTGAGCAAATAGTTACCAATGGCAACGATTTCCACCAAGGCGAGCTCGGCGAGGTCTGTAGATCCCTGGATCAATTCATTTGTTATAGATTGGCTGGTGTGACCTCGGCCGAGGATGACGGTAATTGTGAGTCTGCTGTCCATTCGTTCAACAGACTGCCCAGCCTCAAGCTAAGGGCTTTGTGACATGGTGGTCGACGGCTTGCTGCACGACATTCATTATCTGATGCATAGACTGTTGCCGGCGTTAATTGTTCCGGGACCTCGGGGTCGTCAAAGGAGGAATCCCACTGGGCCGATGTTTATGGCCGTTTCGTACCGTAGCAGTAGCAGAAGGATATCCAAACTCTGGGATATGTGGACGGTACATAGCGAGTACTGGTAGTGTTTATACTACTCTCAACGCCGTCCCATGGCCTCCCACATCCGTCCTGAACCCGATGGAGGTGTCTCAGGTGGAGGAATCAGATGTTATAGCAGCTCAAAGGGAATAGTCTCACGCCTCACAGAGAAGGAGATGAAGGCGAAAGGACAGAGAAGAACGGACAAGGATGACTCTCTGGCCGTCTCGACCATGGGCCAAGTATGTATCACGGTAAGAAAAGCCCGGGCCAAACCAGACGTTGGACGGGTGAGAATGTGACCCTCTCCGCATGGAAGTGCCCGAGATCCACCGAACCGAGCGATTCAGACGTTCGAGATGGAAATTCTTTTGCTGTCACAGATTGCAAGTTTCATGGTCGAGGTGTCCACTTCTAGTATGTACGTCGTTGAGTTACATGTACGTGTCAAACGCATATGTCTCCGGATGCTCAAGTTATGTAATATATTTTCTTGAATCTCTCGAGGTTAAGTTTACTCGAGTTTGGGTTGATCCAACCGTGGGGGCGATGCTTGGCCAGGAAGTGGTCCGTGATGAGTCGAGGAGGAGCAGGTCAAACTTTCACCCTCAGATGACAACCAGAAAGTTGCCTTCGTGTTCGCCTTGTGGGTTGGGGGATGTTCGGTTCGTTCAATGACACTTTGACGCAGGATTTGGCCTAGGCGAGCTCGGACCGGATGTTTAGGTGATGATGTGCCCCTCGTCTCCCCTCCTTGGAGACCCCCCTTCTCTAGTTGACGAGTTTCAGGTGAAATCGAGGTTGGCTGGTCGGCCAGGCTATGTTGTGAGAGAAGCACAGGCGATGGTGGGGGAGGAATACAGAAGACTGGTCGAGCCTGCCAGAAAAGTGAAGTTCTTGGCAAATGGGAGGGAAGACGGCAGCCGGCAAGGGGCATCAGGAAACAAGCTGCTGCGGCTCTAACCAACCAGAAAGCTCGAACACCCCTGCAGCCCCTTTCCCCATCACGCTAGGTTTCAAGAAAAGGAACGTACCGGACTCATCAACATCGAGTACCTACCTGACCTTATCGACAGCCATTCGACTGATGGATTCGACATGTTTCTGGGGAGCCTGGGGACCATAAGTTTGGAGTGCCGATGGGAGGTCTCGTCGCCGCCTTGTGAGAGCCGTCTTGATTTGATACCAGATTATGCGCGCCGCGTGTGAAGTTGTAAGGCCGAAGAACAAATCCCGTCGGTTCATGAATCCTCGTGGAAGATATGCGCATATGTACACCGTCCAAAGACCCCGATGTCCAAAAGGCACAACTCCTCGTGGCCATCTCAGCAGCCAATGTGTGAACAAGAGGCCAGGGCATTGGAGGCCGAAACAGCTGCACAGCTGGTGGTGCACTTCAGCAGGCAATTGTAAGCTGATTGGCCACCTACACGTACATATTTGACATCTGTGTATGAGCCGGCGACCTGCCAGACCTCATCCCGCCGTTGCCTCCGCTGTTATAACACATTAGGTATTTCAGGCACGGGCTGGCACTTGCAAGATCTCTGGCCCATGATCCGCGACGTTGAACATCAAACACTGGACCACTGGATCATGGGGGACAAAGATGTGGCCTAACATGGTGGGTACCGGGGCTAGATCCATGTAGCCACAAACCTCATACACGACTTGCATCATTATCGCTGGGTCGTCCCCTTTCATAATCGGCGGGGACCCCTACACCTAACAGCCCCAAACAAAGTGAGGGGAGGGACTACCATAACTTTCCTCGGGCTGTCAACTTGTTGCTCGTTACGTCTGGGCATCGTGTCGAGTCCCGTCATAAGAAGAATATAATCTCCTGTTGTCCCTGGATTTGGGCACCCGTTCCCCGCGTCTTGTCGGATTCTCTACCTGTTTTCCTCTCTCCCACCCCACGTCCCTCAACCGTGTCCCTTTTTTTCGTTGCTTGCGGCGTGGCGCATCCGGCATCCCCGACGACCGAGCTCCGACAGGCGACAGTAGACGTCAGCAAGCAGCCCGAAAACCTTGTCGTGACCGCGCATCTTTGGCGTTTACCAAGAGCAATCGACCGGACCAGTTTCCACATTAAGGTACTTTACAGCGTTTGTTTTCTTCCTCGATAGTCTGTTGTTGAATAGGGGTAATCGAAAGGCGAAAAAAAAAAGGAAGAAAATAGTGGTTAATTATCTTTTGCGCAGAGTAGCATCTCTCCAACTTGAGGGCGAATTCCGACCAATACGAGCCAGCACTGCATCGGTTACACGCCTGTAGGCGGCGACTCCAGCAAATCCAGCAAGCGCCCGTTCCGTCAAGTCTGAGGACAACAGCGACAGTTTCCTGTTCTGACGGACGAGTCTGCCAAAAAGAGGAAGGTGCATCGCGACGGGCACCACGGAGGACACCCGCGAACCCACAGACACCCAACAAACCCAACACTTCGGCAAGAACGCATCAGGCACATTTCCGCCGGCACGCATTTGACACTGGCGGCGCACCCACACTTGGAGCCACGCACTTCCGCTTCTGCCACCACTGCCCCTGCAGCCTCTTTTACAGGACTGGTAACCACTGGCAACCACCACTGGGCAACCACCAGCACAAACTCACTGTCTCCCAAGAGACAAACCATTCAGACACCAGAATCCGAATCCGTTTCGAGACATCCGCAGCGAGTCAAGCGGCTGGATCGGTCTTGATTCCCGGGTCAACCCAAGCAAGCAGAAGTACTCTAGTCTGGGATTCGCACTGTCGTCTCAGCCAGTCTGGAAGCGCCCGGCACTCAGATCAGGTCGTTGACCAAGGCTCACACAACATTCAGTGGCAGCAGCAGCAAGATCGAAATATTGAAAGACACACTTCAGTCAAGCAAAGCAGTGACATAGCTTTGAGGTTGCGGTTTCCGGCAAATAATAACCTGAGGAATCCTCACTCCCTCCCTCCCTCGGCCGCCAATCCCCATTCAAATACATTTGATTCGGGGTCTCGTTTGCCGTCTTCCGCTTTCCACGCCATTAACAGTCTCCAGTCTCCAGTCCTCAAACCTCCACCAAGTCCCATCTCCCCTTGCGGTCTCGACCCGCACCATCAACATCCTCGGGTTTTCTGCATTTTCTGGATCGCCTCACACACGCTAGGGGCAGGAACAACACAACAGAGAGGGGCCCTGGAGAAAAGGAGTGCCCAAGTGCGTCGAGACGTCAGCCAGCGTCGCGACTGATAGGTCGGCGGCACACCAGCACCGGCACCTAACGACTAGTCCGACTATACCTTGTCCCAGGGGGTCTGCTCACACCTGCTACCAACCTGGTTTGGGACCGGCTTGGGAGACACACACACACACGTTGCTGCGATCCATCCGTCGTCGATTTCTAATCCCAACCCAATAGCAATAATTCCCAATAATCCCGTCCGCCGCGCTTCAAGGCACATCTGTTCGCCTCTTTCAATCAATTTCCTGCCGACCCAACACCCCCCGGATTTGCAGAGCATTCCCAGGGATATTCAACCACTCAATACCGTTTCCAACCACTCGCTCCGTGTCGCTCCAATCTTTTTCTCTTATTCCCCGTCACGCTCTCCTAATTTCCACAACCAATACTCTCGACTATCAAAGTCGACCATGAGCACAGCCATTGCAATGGCCGCGTCTCCGGCTCCTCACGACAGGCCAAACTACGGCTCCGACGTCTCTGCTAGCACCGCTGCGCCCGCTTCCACATCGTCGCCCAGCACGCAACGGACGGCCACTGTACCACCACCGCCGCCCCCATCCTCTTCGAACCCGAATGCGCCAGCTCCCCGGTCAGGTAGTGGCAGCCCCCGAGCTGTGGGTGCGACACCCGCTGCACACAAGTCCTCTCCACCCAGCACGTAAGTAATCTCCTTTTTTTTCTGATTGTCCATGTCATCTTCTTCCTTCTTCTCTTTCCATCTCTCGTCTCGAACATCGTCTTCCGCTATTGCTATCGGGCAGTCACTGATCAGCTCACCGTCTTCAATACTACAGTTCTCGCAGCGCTGGTGGCTCGGCACCCAGGATCATCGTCAAGAAGGAACCAGGCTCGCCCGACGTACAACAGCAACAACAACAACAACA